TGAAGGATACTCGCTGTTTTAAGAGTACTTAACAATGCTTAAAATGCAATAAAGACATGACTGAGCTCCTTAATGCATACATGATTTAAACACTTAATTCATTTTTGATTGATCAGAATTTGTTTTTTGCTTAAAAATAAAGAAAAATGCTAAATACAGTGCAACTGTTAAGGTGTAGAAATATGCAGCCATGAAGACAATTCAATGGACATTTAATGAGAATATGGATATCTGTGTGTTATTGATTCAGTGAAAACAAACGCTGGTTTTGCAGAGCAACAAAAAGTCTATTTCAGTGGAACTGTCCTTTCAATCGTCAACCCTTTTTTAACTCCTTTTGTAAAAAAAAAAAAAATCTGATTCATGGTGTCGATGAGCAGCGGGGAGGATTTTGGTTTGATCAAATGACCTGAACAGAAAAAAATAAAATAAAAAAAAATAAAACTGAATTTAAAAAAACAAAGAAAAAAAAAAAGCTTCTAAATTCTCTGCTGCTCAGATGCCAACAGCCTTCTTCCTCACATTGCTTCCCACTGTCTACCAGCCTCCTTTGCCTCCTTTCTTCTTCTTTTGCGGTGCTTTCTTGCGAGTGGCGCCTGAGGACGACGGTTTCTGCTGTCGTGGGGGAACTACGCTGCTGGCGGGGGCTGTAGAAGAGCCGGACGCAGACCCTGGTCTCGGTGAGGTAGGGGGGCTGCTGGCAGTCTTACTGGCATCCCTGAAGAGAGAAAAGAGCCACAGTGCAGTTAGAAGGGCCGGAAAATTACAGCGCTGAGTTTGTTTATTCAGGATCTGAGTTTCCTTCTGTGACATGGATGAGTGAAATAAACATTTGATTAGCAACAAAGCTTTTGTTGGACAGTGTCTCCCACCACCTCCACTTTTCATATATTTATAAATTCAGGTAGCAGCATGATGTTTGATAAGTTTATCATCCATGTTTGAATAACTGACTTTCAACAGTGACCTGCTCAGCCTGCCATTAGGGTCCAAGTCCAGCTGGTTAACGGCAACTGAACTTTCAAAATAAGAGCAATAAGTTGCATCTGCATCTTCAGACATCCTTGGGTGGTGCAACAACAGCATAAACTTTGTTAGGATTATTAATAAATAATTTTAGCTTCTGTAAAAGAGAAACTGGAGGGCATCAAAGAGTAACCTGCTCAGTTGCTAATAGGGAAACTCAAGCTCAAGGGCTGTAAGTAGCTGGTTAATAGCAATTGAAATTTCAAAGTAAAAGTGAGGGTATGTGCAGAAAAATCTGTTGTAGATGGAGTTGTTCTCTCCCCTGTTCTGTTTTGGAGCTGCGGTAGTTCAGATGAATGGTGGCAGATGGATTTCTCCTTTAGGAGAGACTGAGAATAATTTTGTTCTCAACAACAGATGAGCCCTTTGTCCCGCAAAGCAGCTGCAGCTCTGATCTGATTTCAGAGTTAATTGGCATGAAAACAAAAGAACAATCTCAGTTGCTTTTCCTCCATTAGTGCCGTTAATAACTGGGTTTACAATTACAGGAAATTGCACCCAGACGCCTCGGCTGGACGTGCGTGCGACTGCGGAGTTTACTCACAGCTCTGCTGAAGCTCCTGCCGTCGCTCCCTGTGTGCCTTTTCCTATTTGATCCTTCTTCTTGCCCTTCTTCTTCCCTCTGTAGTAGGAGCGCTCCTTCATAGGAAGCCACCTCTCGGGGTCAGGGGTCACTTTGGGGTCATAGTTCTTGGGCAATTTTCCTAAAAGGAAGATGGTATGGTGTGAGTACTTTATGAGCAATTACTAGACAAATAAAATATCTTCAACAGAGAAAACAAAAAAAATCAGAATTATTCTCTTTTCCTAACAGTGGTTTTAATGTTTTGGCCGCTCAGTGTGCATCTGAATTTCCTACATCATTAATCAAACTCTTTTTCTCTAAGGAGAACAAAAAAGATACAATTAGATGTTTTTGCTCATTTAGAAGAAATAATTTCATGGCCTTTTGTACGTGTAAATAAAAACTTCCAGAACAGATTCACTCTAAATCTTTGCAAGTGATTGAAAGATAATACCTTTCTTTTTCTTCTTCTTCTTTTTGATTTCACCATGGCTGTTAAAGAAAATGAAGGAGAAAAAAAACAAACAAACTTGTCAATGTGTCCCTCGTTCTTTTGAATGTTTTGTTTACACCCCCCCCCAAAAATAACCAAACAAACAAACAAAAAAAAACCAGAAGTAGCCACAGAAGAGAGTAACAGACGTTTACCCTTGTTCTTTGGGAGGGTTTTCTCCCACGACTTTAGCGGCTTTTTTCCTGACGTATGTGGCTCCGTGGGAATTCTCCAGCTCGTCAACGTCCACGTTGAAAGACATGGTGTCTGCAGACGGTAGGTGTTTGCTGAGCCTGTAGAAAAAAGCTAAGGATGCAACAACTGCTGACATCCAGATTACATCCTGGTCTTCTTGGGTTACATTTACTTCAATAAGGTATGGATCATTTGTAAAATTAATAAACTATTTTGTCAACAAAATACCAAGCTTTGTTGAAAAT